AATTCCAAGATAAACTTAAAACAGAAAACAAACCCACAAAAGAACCAAACAATAACAATCTAGAAATAAATCAACCCTACACAATGGAGGAGCTCCTCTACGTAATCCAAAACAGGAAAAAGGGCACAGCCCCAGGATTAGACCTAACTTCTTACCAAATAATTAAAAAACTCCCCCTAAAACTACTCCAGGCACTACTCAAACTATACAATCTCATCTACCTAAACGGACAGGTTCCTACTCCCTGGAAACAGGCCCTAGTCATACCAATCCCTAAACCTAATAAACCAGCTAATCAAGCTAACTCATATAGACCAATATCCCTAACTTCAAACTTATGTAAAGTAATGGAATCAATGGCTAAAAATAGATTACAACATTACTTAACCCAAAATAACATCATAAACCCAGACCAAAACGGTTTCACTCCTGGCCGCTCAACCCTAGATAACCTCGCCCGACTAGAACAAGATATTAAGACAGGACAACTAAATAAACAATATACCACAGGCATCTTCTTAGACTTCTCTAAAGCTTTCGACATGGTATGGCACGATGGGCTAATACAAAAACTTTAAAAAATAGGACTCAAAGGTCAGATAATAAACTACATCCAGGACTTCCTAAACAATCGTAAAATAACCGTGGGTATAGACCAAACTCTATCGGACCAATGTCCCCTAGAAAATGGTACTCCACAGGGCAGTATCCTCAGCCCCACCCTCTTCAATATAATGATAAACGATCTATTCGAGGGCCTATCCCCTAAAGTAAACACATCAAAATTCGCGGATGATGGAGCCATCTGGATCCGCACTCAAAGCATGAACATGGTCCAAAATTTACTCCAAAAATCTCTTAATAAAATACAACAATGGGCTGACAAATGGGGCTTCTCCCTTAACTCAGAAAAAACAACAGGAATAGTATTCAAACATAAAAACATGAAACCCGCCTCCCCAAGCCTCCAGCTAAACAACCAAACAATCAAATTTCAAAAACAAACCAAATTCTTAGGACTTATTTTCGATGAACATCTCACCTGGGATGCTCACATCCAAAACCTAACAACTAAATGCAGTAAAGACCTAAACACCCTAAGATGCCTAACTGGCTCTAACTGGGGAGCATCCAAAGATACCCTCCTCTCTCTCTACATATCACTAATTAGATCAAAACTAGACTACGGCTGCGCCATATACAACACCCTAAACAACTCTCTATCTAAAAAACTTGACTCAATACAATATCAGGCTCTCAAACTAATTACACGCACCCAACATGGCACCTCCTACACCTCACTCCAGGCCTTAACAGGAGAAATGCCACTAAATCTACGCAGGGAACAGCTAAGCTTAAATTTCTGGGCCGCGTCCCAATCAAACCCTCTCATCCAAAACTTAATAAACCAAAACATCAGCCCCAAAAACCAAGCTCTAGCTCGTAAACACCCCTTACTTACCCCAATATCCCAAAGAATAACAAACTACCTAAATGAACACCAAATTAAAAATCTTAAACAAAACTGCAAACAATCAAATATCTTCACCCCTAAACTTAAAATACCCAAAATAGACACAACACTAGCTAGCCAAATAAATAAACAAACCGACCCAAACATAGCTAAAACTACCACACTAGCATACATACACGAAAATTGGCCAAATTGGTGTCACATTTACACGGACGGATCCTCAGATCCGACCTCCAAACACACAGGTTTCGGAGTCCATACCACACAACCAACTAAAACCACACAATCCTTCCGACTCCCAAACAACCAATCAATATTCACGGCGGAACTAATGGGCATGGCCTCAGCCCTCCATAATCAAGAATCCAAAAACCACAAAAAAATCCTAATACTTACCGACTCCCTAAGTGGACTGCAAGCCCTCCAAAACAAAAATACCAAAAACCGACCTAAATTAATAAATCAAATACTTAAAAGCTCCAACGACCTAACTAAGGCAGGCAAACAAATAACCTTCTTGTGGATACCCGCCCACGTAGGAATATACGGTAATGAAAACGCCGATAAAGCAGCTAAACTATCCCTCAAAATCCCAGAAATAAGCTTAAACTTACCTATCTCAAAATCAGAAATTAAAAGTGTAAACAAGCAAAAAATCACAAAAAAATGGCATAACCTATATCTAAACTCAAATAGCCAAATCAAAAAAGTGCTCAGCAAACCACTAACCAAACCCAAAATTCTCCATCCATCCAAAAAAATCGACAGAGTAATCACTAAACTCCAAACAGGACACACCAACCTAAATAACCACCTAAAAAAAATTAAAAAACACACTTCAGGTAACTGCCCACACTGCAAACAACCAGAAACCCCAGAACACGCACTCATCCACTGCACACACTACCTAACACATCGAACCGCATTACAAACCACCCTCAATCTAAACAAGGCTCTAACTCTAGAAGCAATACTAAACCCACAAAATAAACTAGAAAACTTCAAGGCCTTAGGCGTATTCTTAATAAAAACGGAACTAATAAAACGCATCTAAAAACACAATAACCTACCAAATCAAAATCACATAAACAAACAAACATCCACCATACCCAGCTCCCTTAGTTCTCCTCCCCAATCCCATCGGCATCTATTCCAAATCTCAAAATTCCCAAATTCTATATAAGCAACCCCTAAAACCCCCCTCTTGGGTTGCACAGACCACCTTCGCCCCTTTCGGAAACACATTAAATGGCCTGGCCGGGCCCGTGTGCGAAATACGCATCAGTCGGAAAGCGCACGTTAAATCTCCAAAGTAAGTAAGTAAGTAAAAAAACAGGTATCATTTTCGTCAAGTAATAATCGCCGTTTTCGCTTTCGGCCAGTATTTCGCCAGTCAGTGCCGTTTTGCTAAGGTGTCGTTTCAGCTATAACCCGCTTATTGCACATTATAAGTTTCAATTTATATTTAAAATCATTTTAACCACTGAATAAGTAAAAAATGAAATAAAAGCATATAGAAAATAAACAAGCACTTGTTATACAATGTGCATCCGCAGGCAATATTTATAAGATAATCCTGCATGTAGCTGTGGCCATCACACTGAGGATGCACTTCACTTCTTTCTCATATACCCAAATTACAATGATTTAAGACAGAATATGTACTATTATGTTAAGGGATATGATCTAAATTCAGTTCTATTAGGTAATCCTGAAAGGACGTCAAAAATAAACTTAGAAATTCTTAAATCAGTACAAGACTACAATCAGCTATCCAATAGGTTTTGTGATTTTACATAGCATCTTAAATTTATAATACTATTCCTTGCCGTATATTGCAGTACACTATTACTACTAAAAATGCGACCTGACAGCGCCGACAACGTAGTTTCTATAATAAGAACATGTATATAATTGTATTCCTTGACTGTACTTTTGTCATATCATATTGTATTCTAATTCTGGAGCGGTATTCAAATAAGTTTTTGCTTGTTTACCCATCCAGTTCACAAGTTGTGAAATAAATATGTTTAAAACAATATTTAGTAAACAAATAATTAAAACTTATGCAACAACATAGCGTGTGGAGACGATAGACCACTGAAAAGAGCATATATATGCACATCCAATGACCCTTGACATCACAAGGCATTGTTTTGCCAGTGTGTCAGGCAACAGAATACTACGAATTACACCACAGGGTACTGTGACCTGTTTGAAAAGTTAGGTACTGTATTCTAAAGGTAGGCCCAAAATTCTAGACAATCCAGTGATTGATATTGTGAACATCAATCCACACTGTTAGATTGTTACTGTCAGATGCCATGAACCAGGTCACCGAGCCTGATCACCTGATCTATTAGGTTATCTCTTATGGGTGAGGCTAAAACGGCACCTCGGCAAAATGTCACTGATTTCTCGGACGAAAACAGCACCTTGTTTTGGCAAAAAGGGCTACTAATTGTTGTCTGTTATCTGGAGAGACATGTTGATTCCTGGCCGAAAGATATATAAATGAAATTTCTATAAAATTACTATTTATTTCCTACTTACTAAAATAAATATGACATATATAGTATACCTGTTGTCCAGTTTCTTGACATTTTCGCCAGACTCAGTTTCAGCTTGACATTGAGCTAATCTGAGTAAAGCTACTTAAGACTTCAAAGCATGTGATCTTTCAATGATAAGTTTAGTTGCACCTCCCAATCAGAATCATGAGTAAATCTGAGCAGAGGCTAATTTATAATGTAAACTATTTTTAGGTGATTAACATCTAACAATTATTTGTGTTTGCAAGTTTAATTGCATTTATTTTACTTCAAAGAAATCAAAGCATAATATATTTTCACAATAAGTTTAGTTGCATCTCCAAATCAGAGTCGGCGAGTAGATGCTAGTTTTTAATGTAAACCTTTTTGAACATTAGCAAGGATTAACATAAGTTAGGTAGATTGCTTATCCTACAAAAATTAAATCACACATTTACTAACATATATAAAACAGAATAAGTGGCTTACAGAAGATAAATAACTTTAATACGTGATCAATATTATTAACATATTCCTTACCTGAATCAGAGACACTATAACAGTCTATGTATTATGGTCTCTGTCTGAATTTCTCAGTTATTTGTGTTTACAAGTGACCAAGCAAGTTTAATTTCATGTATTCGGGCATATTCAGACCCAAGGTAAAAAAAATAACAAGGTGCTGTTTTCACCAGGCAATAGTAGGCAAGGTGCTATTTCCCTTTATAGTATAACCCTCTCTTACAACTAGCATAGGTTGATGGGGACCAATTCCAACCCGGAATCCCCACATGAGTGGGTATGGTTTTACGCTGTTTTTAGCAATACCACAGCAAGGGACACCTGACGTAGACTTCACACATTGTACTCATGACAAGAATCGAACCTTTGTCTTCAGCACTTCAACCACTAGGCTACCCCACCGCCAAAATTCCCAACATTATAAAGTTGTCATCACGGTATTCTTCAACAAGTTCAAGTGAAAATATCCATACCTTTCAAATGTCTTATCTTCCACTTCACAATGTTCACTGTTGCAAAACTCCTGTCATTTAATTTGTTCTTGATTCTTCACACCTGCAAAAGTAAGTTTAGTCGGTACGGTATGACCTAAAAAAATGAGACACTTTAGAGTATCTAGATAAAGGAATATAAGTAAGCAAACATATTTTTACATCATATACATTAGCAAGGATTAACATAAGTTAGGTAGATTGCTTATCCTACAAAAATTAAATCACACATTAACTAACATATATAAAACAGAATAAGTGGCTTACAGAAGATAAATAACTTTAATACGTTATCAATATTATTAACATATTCCTTACCTGAATCAGAGACCATATAACAGTCTATGTATTATGGTCTCTGTCTGAATATGTCACGTCTTCAGCTCCCTGCAATCGAGGTTGTGAAACATTTCTGCTGTAGGAATATTACATCCGCCGGGATATCCCTTGTCACACTGCCTGGCATGGTAGGCAAACGCATATTCCATACACCACATAGATATACTTCCTAATACACACTGTCGAAATCCCCGCGGCTCCCAATATGGCCTGCATGAACTGTAATCGGCCAACCTCGTCTCTTTCCGTAACTGCTGCAGAAATGACCGCTCGTCATTCGTGACCAACTCGTGTTATTCCGGGACAAGCAAGTCTACCCATAATTCCCTGTATGACCGAGGGCGCCATTTTGGAACACAAATGTAAACAAACACTTAAACCTCGTGTAATCGATGTACACCGTGATGCTTGATTGCGATATGCTTACCTCGTGTATCAATACATTGTTCTCAATCACCTCTAACACGGAAATCCCGGTCGAAATCCACCTGAGCCATCCACAACGAGGACGACAAGTATTTCGAAAACTCGATTGGCAGCCGAAGGAAGGAAGATCAGCTTGCAGATGCCAGGTACGTAGCAGGGCTTCGAGACATAATGTTCCATGATTTCTATACAGAGATCTTATGGAATGGATTGATTTAGATATTTTCCTGATCTCTATGTTACTACTGTAAACGCCAAGGGCCTTTTAGTTTTGTTGTTTTCGGAAACCCTTTGTTATTATTATGATCAAGTGTTTGTTGTGACATGGTATTTCTATTTGGGCTTGTATAAGAGCTACAGGTGCAGGACTTTTAAGGTTCGTGTCCTTATTCTCATAACGCTGGGATTTGATGATGAGGGTTAGTTACCAAGGGTATAAATCTGGCAGAGTGCATGTCAAACAACATGTTGCATTCAATTCCAATCATGTGTTGCCACCTGAACCGCCTGAAAGTGAGATATGGATCACAATGAATAATGACAGCTTATCAATCTTTAACAAATTCACACTGAAACATTGAAAGGATAAAGACAAGTTAGTTGTTTTCTGTTTCAGCTTGTTCAGGGTTTGTGGGGAGGTTCACAGACATCCTCAGGGAGGACTAAGTATTGTGTGAGTATTTGTGTTTGTGATAAATACAAACTACATGTATTCATCATGGTATATTTCAATGCAATGTGAAACATCACACTCACAATAGTCCAGCTCTGTGATGGCAGCCTGTAAATAATTGAACATGGACCAGGCAATCTAGTGATTGTTATTATCAGCAATGATCCATGCCCTCAGAGTATGATGACAACCTAGTCTGACCACCCAATTCATTAGTTGATTAGTGTTTGCAGCGGTAGGAACTAACTCTTTCAGTCCACTAGTCCTAAAATGATAGCATATAGCAAAACCTTTAAAATGTCAAAATGACTAGTGCCAATTTCTAACCCTCGTGTTTGGATGTTGTGTTTGTGTGTGTATGTATGAGTGTATTTAGGTTGGTTTGTTGTTTAACGCCGCACTCAGCAATATTCCGGCTATATGACGGCGGTCTGTAAATAATCGAGTCTGGACCAGACTACCCAGTGATTGATATCATGAGCATCGAGCCACAGAATTGAGATCAATGACATGCATCAACCAAGTCAGCGAGCCTGACCACCCGATCCCGTTAGTCGCCTTTTACGACAAGCATAATGGCCTTTTACGGCAAGCATGGGTTGCTGAAGACCTATTCTACCCCGGAATCTTCACAGGTCGAGTGTATTTAACTTAAATCATGAATCTTATGCTTGTTTCTCCGTGCTTTTACAATGTAACCCAAATTTTCTCGGGGATAATAAAGTATTCTCTTATTTATATCATTTCTGAACAAAGTGTCATATCAAGGTTAGATCTCTGTCAAAACAGTGCCATGAAAAAGCCAAACAAATAGCCTAGAAATAAAAGTAAATACTGCATTGCATTAATCTGCATTTCAAGAAAATTTGGCAATAATTCATGGAATGATATTCACCTCGAACAAGCTATTTCCTATGTAATGTATGTGTTGAATGACCCTGACTTTGTTGTCAAAATATTGTTTTGACATTTGTTAAATATGGGGATAAATGTCATCTCTGAATGTTTGACATGAATTATTATGATTAGGGTAGTTCTAAGTCGGAATCACAACCGGGGTCTTTTCATTTGAATCAAATGTACAACATGTACAGTTTGGACATTTTTCTGTGATGTGAATGCTACTTATGTTTGTAGAATGTCCGGATGAATAAAAGAGACAGTCATCTGTGCAGCATCAATGCAAAGAAAGACCATAGAAGAGCAACAGTGAGTAGTAAATATTTTGAAATTATTCTGTTTGGTTCATATGGTTATTTTGCAAATATGTCTTCAGTTTGTTCCTTATCGCTGTGGGCACGGATGTCCTATTATCTAAGGCACTACGATTTTCTGTGCAGAGTTGCATCTCTTGGGCTTTGCAGAAACCTATAGTCATGGGTTCAAATCCTGGTTCTCCCCGATTATGTTGCTAGGTTTGTCAGCATTATACACATGCTCGTGGGATTCATCAAAGACCTGCATCACTTAGGGCTTTCTTCCCACATCAAGCTAACATGCGGTGATATATCTGGAATACTGTTCAAAGCAGTGTTAAAGCCAACTCATTTATTTAACACTGCATCCAGCAAAAGTTTGGCTATATGACAAGGATTGTAAATATATATTTTTCCATGTTGATGAGTTGAAACAATCACTAAATGACATCTCTTAAAAAGATTCCCAGCATTCCAAGCCTAATTAATAGATAAGGTAGTGATTGAGTAGGCTCATTGATCGCATGTAATCATACCACAGTGATGTGGGATATTGTCCTGATAGTTATCATCGGTTTGTCTGGACCGAGTTCATAACATTAGTCACTGGTTTGTCTGGTTGAGATTTGAGATGTGATTATCTTAAATGTTTAGCATATAACAAGACTCACATATGACAACTTAAGTGATGTTGCTGCCTTCTATCTGTAAGTACATGTGGCAACAATTCTTTTTGATTGCTAAAATCTTTTTACATAATGCTGCAGAAACTGAAGTCCTGCTTGAGATCCCTGGATGAGTACTCCAGGTTGACAGTCTGGAAGGACGAGACAAGGGAGTCCTAAACAGAGACTGCACCCCTTCAGATATCAGAGGTGATTTGCAGACAGCGATGACGAGGGTCCTGTTATTTCAATGGAGGCCGACCGAGAAGTTGTATGCCAAATGGTACTGGGACACACAAAGGCTGGTCTGGCTAATGTGAGAAGACCAACCAATGCCAAGCTGGAGTGGAATTCTTCCAGGACATTCAGGAAATTCTTGTCTTGAGCCATATGGTAAACACTTGAAAGGAATGATAAATGGGACTTATTGTTTTTAAATGTGGACCCAAACACCAAATGGAAAGTTCACAATTCTACTAACACAATGCAGCAGAGATAGAGTCCAACTGGTATCCCCTCATCCTGGTTCCTGTTCATCCATGGCAATATAGAAAGAAAAGGAGGATTGTCAAGCGAACAGTTATCACACTCTGTTGTGAGTATTGAAGAATAGGATGAAATTGCATACTGCATCAGGAACCATCATGTGAACACTGTTCAATGTGCGATATACATATAGGCATATGAATAAAAGAAATTGATAATTTGATTGTTGCTTATGTTTCATTTGCCAGCTGTGTAAATGGGGATGTTTCATGATTTTGCCTCAGTTTAATAGCCACACTTATCTTATGAAACCATGCATTGCTTGGGCATCTCAAGATAAATAACACATGTTTCCTTTGCTCTGAAAACGTCTGATGACACATTGATCTGTTATGTCAAAGGTCAAAGTCACAACCAGACAAAAAGTTTGTTTGTGGTCTAACTCTTCCTTTGGACAGGGGTCGAAGTTGGAAAAAGGTCGTGTGTGATCTATATATACTACATTTTCCCCTAAATTGCCTTTTCTGCAGAAGTCTTAGTAACTCTTATACATATACTGGTTACATTACTTCCGTATTTTGGTCAGTGATATGTTGAATTCTACCAAAGGACTGCATATTTGGTTTATGTGCTGGATAGCTCTTTGAAATGTTTTTGAAATATTTATCACTGATATTGAAGGTCAAATTCACACTCAAAAGTGATAACTCTTGAAGGGTTGAAGTGTAAGATCAAGGCAATAGTGAAGGGGTCATTCATAAAGTATTTCTGCAATTATAACTAAAATGCCTATTTCTGGAGATATTTGTGAAGTATTAAGCACATAGTTGTTATATTATTTGAATACACATATATGTGCAGTGGTTACAACTCCAGTGTCAAATTAACTCTCAATCCCTTTTAATAAAAGAATTCACAGTAACTGAGGAAGATCTTACTGTAGTACCATAAAACTAGGGTTAGGCAAATTTCAATGAAGTTAGTATTTTGGATATAACAAATACATGTACCGTTACAAATATTATCATCTTATTATCATCTCACTAGGACTAAAGGCCCAAGTGAGCACATTGTCAATGACTTTTTCTTTTTCTCAGTACAAACTGGAAGTCTGGACATGAAATTTAAGGATATCATTATACGAGAACTGATGTTTGTTCATTAAATAGCATTAACATCTGAAAAGGACAATATATGAAATTGAACAATTGTCTTCTCCAAAAATGTTTTAGGAGGATATTTACCATTAAAGTAACCCAGAATATCACAACAGCTACCTGTAATACAAAGGCTAACATTTTTTACCAGAAGCAAGTCATGAAGAAAATTTGCATCCGGAAACCTTCCAGATGCCTTCAGCAACCTTCAAATTGCTTGGTATTTTCAAGTTAATTTTTTTATGTGTTTCACACTTAAGTGAACAAAATGCACCCCCCAAATTATGACATTTTTTTTGGAAGGTTTCCGGAAGGTTTCCGGAAGGGATCCGGGCCGGATCCAAAATGGGTAGGTATCCGGAAGGTTTCCTGAAGGTTTCTGGAAGACGGAAACCTGCACTTTTTTTGCTGTGGTATGAGTCTGGGCCAGACAATCCAGTGATTGACATCATGAGCATTGATCCGCACAATTGCGATACGATGACATGCATCATCCAATTCAGCAAGCCTGACCAACCGATCCTGTAAGTCGCCTCTTACGACAAGCATAGGTTTGTGAAGACCTATTCTACCTCGATCTTCACAGGTCCCTGTGCTCACGTAGCGAATCATAATCGATCGGATCTTGAACCGTCAGGTGTTATCCCATGTGTCTTATAACGGTCCCACAGTATTGTAATAGTACTTGGTCCTACGTGGAAAAACCTGGATACGGACAAAGACGATTCTTCTGTTTGCGGTCGAATGATGGCGTTGTTGCGTTTGGCTTCCTTCAGTCGTGACATGTTTTCGCTGTTCACTTCCTGTGATCTTGTGATGGCATGCAAACGAAAACCCAGCGTTTTTAGCCCAAAAGGTGATGTTGCACGTGCATGTCATGATGGT